AGCACGCTAGACACATACGCTTGATTTCTTCCACCTTCCAACAATGCTATGATTCTACCAGAATCTGTATCACTTAAAATCACTTTACAAACATATTTGTAACTTAAAAATTGTGCAGTTGAAAAAAGTCAAGCCACGGGAACGTTAGAAAGAAGCTTTACAGAAAAACCAACAAAGAAGAGGGTAACTATTCAAAGATTTATTTACAAAATCCAAAATTTTAAACAAAAGTGATAGATTTTATCTGTGTTTTATTACCTTTAATCCTTTAAAACGGACCAAATATTGTTGTCAGATAATCAATAGAGGATTATCTAAGATATAATTAAAAATATTAAGGGTGCCCACTTTTGTTGCCTCTCAGTGTATATAACCACTTTAAATGATTTTTTCCCGCCGGATAGCTTTAAAAAAAATTACGAACCAGAGAAAAGTAATCAAAGAAAAGTAACCGAAATCTCAGGTTTTATGGGCGTTTCCTGGAACAATTAAATAGTTTTATGACGGTTTTTTCGGTCAATTTGCCGCTCGATCGATCCTAATCGACTCCAAACTTTACTGCCGCTTCCGTCGGACGTTTAAGGAGTTTAAAATTTTCTAAATTGTTTTCTCGCCGGCTTTATTGCCTGCAGTGCTTAAGACAAGAATGTCGTCCTTCCCAGGACCCTTTCCCGAAGTGTTTCCAACACATTTTCTACATTTCTGAGTTGATAATCTTATTTGAAAGTATTTTTATCATAAAGATATGATGTTTGTTGTTCGACCTGCAGATAATCTATGTGGAGTTTCAATCTTCGTAGAGGTCATTAGATAGGTGAAAAATCACTAATCGTAGCAGTCTCTCTCATTAATTTTAATCCTTTGTACCCAGTTCCAGTAAATAGCTGTAATTCTAGTTTGAAATGTATTCTCTGTGATCACAAATGTTACCTGTAAGAAATTGCTAGTCAGAACAAAAAACTGTTGGGCCTGTAGTCATATTTATTTATATTTTGTTTAACTTTGTTATAAATTCACTAATTTCGTGGTCCACTTGACCAATTAATATATTACAATTAATTAATGTTTTTAGTTGAGATAAAAAAGTCAACGGCATGAGCGGGATTCGATTGAAAATTGGAAAAAAGGAGGGAAAATTCAAAAGGTGGAGTTGAGATGGGAAGTTAGTGTCCGAGTGGATCGAAGTCACGATAGCCCAAGTGGTAGAGCAGCGGCGTATCTAGCCGAAGATCGTGGGTTCGAATCCCGCTCGTGCCATTGACTTTTTTATCCCAACTAAAAACCTTAATTAATTGTAATTTATTATAAATTATTATTTTCATTGTCAAATATAAATATTGTATGCTAATAATTACTTATAATTTTATATAGATGTATATTTTCAACGACAAAAATGCAATATGCTGGCCATGTGCTCCATAACCTTAAACCCAAAAAGCTTTTACAATTGTTTTCCATGTTAATCGTTTTTCTCCATTCTTGGAAAAATATATATAAGGCATTTTATTACATTAATTTTTAATTTTATTTTACTGTGTATTTATTTTAATTTGTAATAAAATAGGCCCTGATGATGGCATTATAAGGTGCCGAAAGCTCGGCAGTAATTAATACCCAGTAATTAGTCTTCTTTTTTTCACTTGTCTAATGACCTCTACGATGATTGGAACCCTACATAGATGTATTCTTATCAATTTGTCCCTTTATATAAAAAATATGCAAATCAGGTCTGCAACACCTACTTGATATTATATTGATAGTAGTGTGTTTAACAGCCATGCTTTTTATGTTTTTATTAATTACAAATACAATTGATTTATTAGGTATCGTGGACCGCTTAACCAAAAAATTTATTTCAATTAATTAAGGTTTTGGTTGAGATAAAAAAGTCAGTGTTACGAGAGGGATTCGAACCCACGACCTTCGTCTAAATACGCCGCTGCTCTACCTCTTGAGCTATCGTGACTTCGATCCACTCGGACACTAACGTCCCATCTCAACCCCACCTTTTTTTTTAATTTTCCCTCCTTTTATCTCAACGAAAACGTTAATTAAAGATTAATTAATTGAAAAAAAATATTTTGTCAAGCGGTCCTCGAAACCTAATAAATGTATACTTCACTAAAGCTCGCCGTGGGCATTTCATTTGTCGCCGAGAATCAAATAGATTAAACGACATTTGAAAAATGGCAAAAAGGAGGGAAAATTTAAAAAAAGGTGTGGTTAAGGTGGGAAGTTAGTGTCCGAGTGGATCGAAGTCACTATAGCTCAAGTGGTAGAGCAGCGGAGAATTTAGCCAAAGATCGTGGGTTCGAATCCTGCTCGTGACACTGAATTTTCATCTCAATCAAAGCCTTAATTAATTGAAAAGAAAATACAATAAGATTCAAATATGCCCTATGCAACTTAAGACAGTATTTTTAGCTTTATAAAGCCGTCAAGAGGAGTCCTTTTTTTAAACAAATTAAATTATATTAATAGTAACGGAGATAAATAAAGGAAATGGAAGTTATATAAGCTATATAGAGCAGGTCAAAGGAAGGAAAGAAAGAGAATTGAATAAACGGATCCACGGCCGGCTGAGTATGGTCCTGGGCGGACCAAACGGGCATCTGTCACTGGAATGTAACAGTACTACTTTTGTGTATGTATAAAGTGCAGATAACGGTGACTACCGTGACAAGAGACGTTCTGTACTCGTAGGTATAGTTTACGACAAACGAATTTTTTTTTCTGGTCCTAATTTAGACCCAGGTGAACTGGCCGGCGAGTTTCTTAAGATTTTGACAACCTTTGAAAACCTGCCTGGTCCCGCATAACGTCAATTCGGTTGTGGATTAGCGCTCGGACAAGCGAAAACGCCCGGATCTCAAAAGGGATATCAAGACTTAATTTAAATACCATTATAAGTCACAAAGGAAATTGTACAGAAGATTGAGCTATCGGTTATTATTTAAGCAATTTAATAGTTTACTGGGCAATCATCGTTATAAGAAAACTACTCTCATTAGTGGAAGTAAAAACAAAACACTCGATGAAATTTCCTATTATCCCAATTGATCTAAAAACCTGTTTTATGGTAGAGTACATGAAATTACAAGAAGATCTATTTCGACATACTTTCTTTATTATTTTGTGATTAATCGGTTATTAAAAAATAGGAAAAAACACTAAAATTATAAAATACAATTATATGATAGTTTTTTCTCTGAAGACATCAGTATCTTAAGGAAAAAGGAGGAAAATTCCCAAACTGTCGGAAAAGCTGCGAAAAGTCTTAAATTAAAAGGAAAAGTTAAAAAGCATTAAATAAGTTCCCATGTGCTGAAGTCTACAGCTGACAGATGAACAGTCGTTTGATCGTTTCGTATCCCTGTGCGCAATCCGTTTTAGTTTCACGACATGATCAATAATGATCTCATTTGTTATGCAAAGAGGAAGAAACCGCGTCGCACATTGACTTCGAATTCGAACATGGAGACATAACCAAGGGTACAAGATGACCCATCATGGCTATCAATGACCTTCTATTTCTTAGAAGATGGGTTGAATCAATTGAACTGAAACTTGGGAAAGTACAATTAGAAAGAAGCCTGCAGTGCTTCGGGAATACCCTCTTTATCATCATTCTTCCTATTATCCTTATCATCATCTGTTATGCAGTTAGACGTGTCTTTAATACTTAAACGTGCAATGTTTCGTTTGCAATATGCTTTATGCATGGATTTTTTGCAAATAGAGAAAAAACGTTTTAATTGCAAGTTGGTCTGCATTGTAATCACAGCGAGTCTAGGACTGGTCTTGAAGTAAAACAACGATTTAATTACCAAGTGAAAAAAAAAATCGTGAAATTTATATTTCCTACATCCACAGAGAGGGCCCATTAATTCATAATCGTCGTATGTTATTAATGAATTTGCATCCGAGCTAATTGCAAATTGAGACATAATACTTGGTTGAGTTTTATACATGGCATCGCAAAACTTAGGCGCCTTAAACTGTAAATTGACCTCGACGATGGTATGCTCAATTTTTTCAAAAAATCTTTGTATGCAATTAAACATCGGGAAGCAGATTCTCTATGTGAACATCTTCAACTTGTCAGTCTGATGTTAAAATTATTTCAGCATAGAAGTTATATACATAGAAATATTTTAAAAATCTACAAAACCATCAAAATCTACCTGGCATGTAGAATTATGTTAGATTTCGACCCAATTAACCAATTCAATAACCTCTATTTGGTATAATAAATTACTTCGTAGAACTCCAAAATTTTTGAATTAGACCAACTTGTGACAAAAACTATTATAAAAACATTTTTTTAACGAGGGTTCGCAACAGCAAAGGTCATATAAACCCTCAGGGTGCCGGTGTTTTTGAAAAAAGCCCATTTATAAGTATGTCGGGTTCGAATTCAGCGGCTGGATTCGAACCCGGGACCTTTACCTTACAGTGATGAGTGCCGTGTCAACACATAAACCGTTGCGGCCACCGACGCCCCAAAAACATTATTATTAAATAACTGACATATTTAGATAGATTAATATATTTTTCTTTCGATTTGAAGATAGATTTAGTAGGAAAACAATAAAAAAAAGAATCACATTAAATAAGTTTATTTAAATATTATTATTAAAACATAAAAACTTATATTGAAGGAGTGTCTATCAGTTCTTAATATATAGAAAAAATGTCTATACAAGTAAATGCATTCGGTACTTTTTTCATGAACATAATACAACTACAATTAAACATTTAAAGCTTATTTAGAAGTACCATTTCTGATAATTAAAAAAAATAATAAGTCTCTCTAAAACAAAAAAAATTAAATTTAAAAAAATAAATATACAAAAATGACACTTAAAATTAGGAAGACGAAATAATTTAATGATTGTCACAATGTCACCCGAAAATTGCACTTCCGAAATACTCTCAGCGTCTCGTGAAAGCCCGGAGGGTTAAATTTTGAGCACTTAAAAAAATTATTACAAAAAAAAAATAATAACAAAATAACTGTTATCAATATAGTACAATGTTTACATAGTCTAAAACATCAACTAACATAAACCTAAAAATAAAATAACAATAGCTAAAAATATACATACAACTTTTGATTGACACGAAAACCAGATTCACAAAATTGTAACAATGTGTTTGTTTTGTTTTTGCCTCTAGTCATGTTAAAGGAAGGTCAACATTTCAGCACGATTATCTCTTGAGCTGGATTAATTACTAAACTATAATAGTTATTCTTTGATCCTGTGGAGTGAGCCGGTCCTTTTTTTGCTCTCGATGACGTAGAGGGCGTGGGGCTTGCCGTTTCCGGGGAAATACTTTTGAAAAGCGTTCTTGGACGGCTTTTTCGGCTTGTAGTAACTGACCCTCCTGTGAGGCTCGTCTCCGACCCAGATGGTGGGCTTGAAGACCTGGTTGGCGTCCTTGGCTTTCGCGCTTGTCTTCCTGGCCACCATTTTCTTCACTTCCGGTAAATTCCAGTGGTAGATTTTGCCGGGTTTTCCGTTCGACTTGAAACTCACGGGGATCCTGTTGACGTTGTGGGACTGGGACGAGCCTTTGGCCGGTTCGGAATCGTAGTAGTAAGGGTTGTGAGGAAGTTTTATGATGTACATGTGGGAGTCGCCCGAGTGGCTCTTTCTCGACTGAGAGGCGAGCCTCTTTCTGTGGTGGCTTCCGGGGTTCTTCATCCTGGTCATGCCGATGTGCCTGAGAACGTCGGCCGTGGTCTTCCTTTTATTCCCGGTCTCGACCCTGACCGGAAGCATCCTCGGGCCTTCCTCGGTCGTCGTCTTCGTCACTTCGTTTCTCTCCGTCTCCTTACGGACCGACGCGCTGAGGGCCACCGACAGACTCAGGGCGAATAGTATCACCGACCAGTTCAGCTCCATTCTGAAACAGACAAAATGCATTTTTGAGCATGACGATAATGATAGGGCACGCCCTAAGGACCTAATCTTAGTTTACTAATTGAATGGAGCCCTTCATAACAGACTTCCCGCTCGGTTATTGAAATAAAACGTCTCGAGGGAGCGGTTTAAGAATAATTACACGAGAACGTCAGATTACTATCGTAATTAAATTTGTAGACTAATTCTCATCTGCTACTGCTTTTAATTAATTTGGGCTAATAGGGTCGATTTTATCAATCACGAATTCGTGATCGACCGGAGAATTCTATTCTCTGTACAGCAAAGAAAATCCGTTTTCAAAACAAAAAGCTCTGGTTGCTTTTTATTATTCTTGTCTTAATTTACTTGATGTTTTGCTCTATCAGACGTGTTTTGGCATTTCGTTGGCGGATTTTGTCCAAAGTTTGTCTTGGCACGCTACTACAACCGGAAATCATTAAACCCCTGGTCAATCATCAAAATCGCAAAGAAAAAATTTACCAAATTGTTCTATGTTCTAAAAATTAGAAAAAACGTACATTCTTGCAAATCTAAAATATGGCAAAATGTCGAAACACAGACCTAAACAGCATGGCAGACAAGTATTTCCAGAAGCTGCCATATTTAATTATCCCGCCGGTCTTAAAAAGAAATAACCAATAAATTGCATATTTAAGTCTGAGAAAATGAGCAAGTTCTGTTTATTTATTTTGTTTGTCTGGAAAAGAATATTGGTTACTTGCGTTCAAGAAAACGCGCAACCGAACTCCACCAGCTCTCAGCCCTCAAGAAGAAATCTCCCATTTTAAAAATTACCATTGCCATAAAAAATAGATACCCTTAATACATGAAATATAGCGAAATGATATTATCGAAAACAGAACGCCATGAAAGACCAAAACAGCGAATATACGCTGACCAAAATGATCGAAAAAACTCCATGTTCATCGAATCCAAGAAATTACAAGCTCTCTTTCGACATACTTTAGTAAAGAAAAAATGAAATTATAATAAAACAATTACACGAATTTATTTCCTATTATCTCATAAGGAAGCTGAGAAAGAAAATCCCCAAACTTTCAGCAAACCTGCGTCACATCCTGACCTTAGTAAAACTACAGTATTACAGACATAAAATTTAAAAAGGCAAAGTTAAAAAGCTTAAACATGCCCCTAGGTTATTATATTCCATCAGATGTTTGACCGTTTTGTATTATACAGTATACAGTCTGAACGTTTTAGCCGAGTGTGTGGGTTCAAGTTTAGTCGTCTAGGTATAATTTTAAGTAACGGACGTCCAAGGGTTAGTGAAGTGAAAACTGTATGCTTTATATGAAAACTTTTACAAGCCCAAAGCCATGGTTCTAGGCTGTCCTGTTGATGTTGGGAAGAGAGAGGTAGACTATGATAGGATCAGGGTTAGAAGAAAGGATCGGGAAGATTATTAAAGTAAATGGTATAAAGTAGAAGTGCCAGTGTACGTCCTTGAGGAACACCAGCGTTGTAGAGGAACCTTGATACATGTGACGATCGCATAAGTAAGATTTTAGGATAAGGTTCCACTATATGCTGATTATATGATTTCACTGTACGTTTTTTCTGTGTTCAAGGATTGTTGTTATTGTTTTGAGTGCTTACTGTGTTGCTACGTTATTTTATAATTGCAAAAATATGTATTATTTTCTGCATTTTTCATCACTTTTCTGTCATATACTTTTCGTTGCTAGACGATCCATATGCTTATTAGTATTTTGTTATAATTATGTTTATTAACTTTTCCTCCACACGCAATATTCCTAAAGCATATATTACATACAAATAATACATACACACTCATGCTACCTTAAGATTTTAATCCAACCTATGTTTGGCAGGTTTCAGAGTACCTGGGACCCATTGAGTACCCACCCCTACTCACCTCGCCTCGAGAATCACCTCGCCAACCATCCAATCACGCCAATAAATACGTTCATACAGAGTAACCTTTCATGCCATATTTAGAATTAAAATTTATTGTCATTTGTCTACATTTTTATTGTCCGGCGTTGCACCGCTCTATCACTCTCCACTAACCTCACTAGCCTTAGTTTTTGACAGGTCTGCGAAGTACTCTATATTCCTCGGCAGGCCCGTCCGTTCATACATAACCATTCATGCTAATAAACACATTCACACTAGAAGGGTACAACGGATGCCGTCGAGCCCTTCCCTCACATCTCTCTATCGATATTAAATTACCCAACCTAATTCGGTGGGGCTACGGGTACTCATCCGTCTCATCCGCGACCACTTCATCATTCGCGCTAATAAATACATTCATACATAATAAAAGTGGGGAATACAACGCGTGGTTGTTTATACGTGCCCATGCGCATTTATTGTTTTTAAATAAGCAATGGGATTATCTTTATAATCACTGTCTTGCTTTTATTATCCGAAGATTAAGCTAAGAGCTTGTATATGGACTTGCAGATTCTCCTCTGGCCAGTGCGTTTGCCTTTTCGTTATCCAAAATTCCTTTGTGTCCTGTTGTTATCAGCACGATTTTGTTCGACAGGTTTCGGAGATTTTGAGATTTTGGATTGCACTCATTTGTTAAATGCTTTAATGGCTGCTTGGCTATCAGATTTTATGAGGAGTTTTTCGTCAGTGTAAGATCTTTTAAGATTTTTTAAGGCACAAGCATTGATGGCATGAAAAACAATCAAAATGTAGATTCATTGTTCAGCACATTTCAAGAAGAAATCTTAATAAAATTCTTATTCGTGTCTAAAAAAAACTATCAAGTACTGCGGGAAAGTTAATGAAGTCTTTTGTACTGCTGGAGACGACCTGGGAAGTCATAAACTACACAGACTTCAGGAAGAAATCTAAGAATTCTCACCAGTTTAAAGCTCATTGTTTGTCAGTCTTGTCGAAGGCAGATTATGATTTTTCTGAATTTTTCAAATTACAGGTTTTTCACCAGCACTTCAAAACGAAATCTCACGTATAATTCCTACTCGTGTCCCAGCAAACTAGCAATTATTGCAGTAAAGATGTCTGCAGAGGATAGGCAAACTAGTACGACAGAAAACGTTTAAACTACGGGTTCATTAAGCTGCAAACTTGAAAAAAGAAATCTTACGTGGGTTCAAGAAAATGAACTGATGCAAAAACACGCAACTGAATGTGGCTGAACAACACAGAAAAATATTTGCATGTGCGTTCGTCAGTGTCACTGGATAATTGATATCTTCAACCATCAACTAACATTTTCATTTGTCTAATTAAGCAATTAGGACCCATTCCGTTTTAGAGATAAATACAAGTTGGTTAATAAACACAAATTACCTATTGAAAATTAAGTCATTTATATAATTTATACGTATAATTTTTTAAATACCGGTCTTGCATTCTTTTTAAAAATTCAATACAGAAATGTTTGGTTAATCGTGTCGTTCCATTTTCGTCTACATTCAAACATTGAGTAATGTACCGTTACACAGGAACGTCAATTATTTTATTAAAATCCTTTTTGAATATAGGCAATTCGAACACGAGCCATTCTCATGCCGTTATTTTGATATATTGGACGTTTACGATGTCAAAAATAATTGAATTTCTTAATAAAAGAAGATCTATCTTTACGTCTCGACGTCTTAACATGGTTCATATCGAAAACAGATCTTCTAAACGGATTTCATTTTTAAACTCGTCCAATTTGCGACCATCTGTGCGACCAGGTTTTCGTGCTTAATCAAGCCTGTCTTGATGAGCAGATATTTTGCATGGTTTAAACATCGTAAAGTGTTAAGGGTTCTACAGTGTTAAAGCACTTTGATTTTAGCTCAACCCATCCGAAGTTCCAAATAAAATCTATCGGTTCATCTAAAGTATTTAATTATCTGTAATTTAGTCCAGACTAATTAACCGATCAGCGCTCGATTGGCCCGGCCTCATATAAATCCTAGCCTCTGAATTTCTTTTTAAATATTTTCTTTAACCTATCAGCACCCAATTAATCAATGTTATCTATAAAGTCATGCATTATTAAATAAATAATGGGTTTTAAAAAAATTTCACCTTGGTTTCCAAATTTTGAGAGTTTTTGTAAATGAACCGTCCTACCTCTCTTCTCATACCTTGAAACCTTTCCACACAACCTCTCTCCACTGACAAAAAATGTTAAAATGGATCCTATTGATTCCTAAACTATTTTCAACTCATTTAGGATTGCCCCTCATCTTTAAACCTCATCAAGACATAAATGATGCCAATCACGCACAATAGGTTATGCATAACTTTAGTATGCCAATTCCTGTTCATTTCCGTTGCAACCCTTTTCATCCGTAACTTTTTAGCTCTATATAGAGAGCGTGTAGAAGAATCGTCCTTGACACAACAGCAAGTATTTCGATCACCCGTTCCGTTTTTGGAGGGAAGAGGGTCCTTTTTTATGTATAGAGTAATGACAGTTTTGTATCCCTAGCGTGTGTTGAGAGTGAATGTACTTATTGGCGTAAATGTGTAATTAGTCGACTCTCAATTAGATTAGTTATACAATACGTGTAGAAGCTGATGGAGAAATATGGAGTATTTTTCCACCCTATTTGAGGGAATGGTGGTTATCTACATACATGTGCAGATTATGTTAATTCATTTTTTTCATTCTTCTGAAGGAAAGTACCTCATTTACAAATCCCCAATTAGGTAAATCCACTAGCCATATTCCATTTACCTCCACCATGCTTCGAAACCTCCCACAAAATGCCAAAGTTTTCTTAAGCACAATAAATAATGCCATCTTACGAACCGCTTACTTTCCTTTTTTTATAGAAATATTCCACCGTTATTCTCATTCCAAAAGTTCGCAAACCTCCCAAACAATATTCTTTCAAACCAATCAACCATCTTTCTTTTAATGACCCAAATCCTTGAAAGACACATTTTAAAACGCGTAAAGTCATTCCTTCTCGCCAATTCGGCACCCGTCCTCATCATTCCATGATCCAATTAGGG